TCTTCGACACTTAGGTCCTATTCGTTTCTCCATTCAGATGGATCATATGGATGGAGATGAAGAAGGATGTTCGTTTTTGATAATTTAACAGAGCATTTGGATGAGTCAGTTAGATGGATCATCTGAATGAGTTTGTAATTTTTGGCAAATTTATCAAACTCATCTAGATGAACATGATTGAAGCATTTAGATGGAGATGGCTCAGTCAAAAATAACAAATGACAAATATACCCTAATTTACAATCATATATCAAATAATGTTTATTTTTTTTTTAGATTTCTCATTTTAGATTCTTAAAATCACATATTTGCACCCAAAAAAAATCTCTAAAATTATGAAATCAAGGATTATCATTTTCAAGGATTATCATTTTCTGTTAAAATCATAAAATCGCAAAATTGTGTTTTTTCTCCCCTCCAAAAAGTGAAATCACGATTTTAGATAGAAAATTGTGGAATTCGTCAAAACCGCAAAATCATATTTTCTCGTCAAAACAGCAAAATCATATTTTCCAGCAAATCATATTTTCCGGCAAATCATATTTTCTCGCCAAAATCGTAAAATTATATTTTCCCGCCAAAACCGTAAAATTATTTTTATATGTTAAAATCATAGTTTGAAAATTATTTATTTGTAAATATATTTTAGAGCAATAATAAATTAACATTACTAAGATTAAAATTAAAATATAATTAGATTAAGAGTACGAGTATTTTCATTATTTTCTTGTTAAAGTCATCTAGATGAAAATGAAGATTTAAAAATATTAAGCAAACAAACAAAAGTTCATTTAGATGCTCATCCAAATGAACATCCAAAACTTGAAATACACAACATTTAGATGGACCATTTGGATGAAACATTTAGACGGACCATCTGGATAGAAATGCCAGATGATCAAATGAACATTGCCCTACCCATTCACCCAATGGATCTCCCACATCAAAGAAAAAAAGAGGAAGACCTCCACTCAACAAACCTGGGAATAAAAGTCCTCTAAGAGTGACTAGAGCAAAGTCTAGTAAAAGAAACATGATGAGAATTCAAAGCTCTCCTAAAGAAAGAAATTCTACTGAAATGGTAGGCCCTTCTAGTGAAGAGACCAGAATCGCAAGGGTACCTCCCAAGGTAACTTAGCAGCACTCTCTACGAGTAAAGCTCCTCCTACAAGAACTATCATCCCTGCGATAGTTCAACATTTAAAGGAGATGAAAAGGGCCATATCTCACCAGATAAAATCTTCCTCATGGGGACAAAGAACTCGAATGAGTCAGTTCTTAATGCACTTCAATGCCTGAATTTTAGTGATACTAAACTAGTTTCTCCCCATAGCCCTGGTGGTAGAGGTCTAGCTCTACTCTGGAACAAAGGGATCAATATTCAAATTTTGTCAGGATGCCAGAACTTCATTGATACATTTATTGAAGTTGAAGGTCAGTCTTTCTTTGCTACCTTCATCTGTGGAGAACTTGAAAAATCCAAAAGAAAGGAAATTTGGGATAAATTATCCATCATAGGCCAAGATAGAGCAGATTCATGGTTCTTTACATGAGATTTTATTGATATCATTAACTCATCCAAAAAAGATGGAGGCCCTGCTCACCTTGAAGGCTCCTTTGTGGACCTTCGCACTTTCATGTCTACATGTGATCTCTTTGATCTCCGCCACTCTGGTAACTTCCTATCTTGGAGAGGCAAAAGACATGAACACTTGGTTTTCTGCAGACTTGACAGAGCTATGTCAAATAGTGAATGGGCAGTAAACTACCCTTCGAGCAGAAGTGAGTACCTACGCTTTGAAAGGTCTGATCACAAACCTCTGATCACCTTTTTGACCTTAAAAAAAGAAGAAGAAAAGACCATTCAGATATGATAGAAGACTCAGAAACAATGTTGAGGTTACACGGCTAGTCATAAGGAATAGGAAGAGCACTATCCCTGAAGCTGTTGAGATAAAGATGAACAGATGCAGACATGCTATTATTGAATGGAGTAAAGAAAAACACCTAAATAGCCAAAAGAGAATTTTGGATTACCGTACTAAGCTGGAGGAGGCCATGGTCAACCTGATCCCTGATTCTTCCTTGATCAACACCATTAATGAGGAACTGAAAACTGCATACAAGGAAGAGGAAGAACATTGGAAGCAAAGAAGTAGAAAACTATGGCTTACCTTAGGGGACAAAAATACCGGTTTCTTCCATGCTATTACTAAGCGATGTAAGGTAATGAATAAATTTTCAGTTATTGAAAATGATGAAGGACAAACCTTTTATGAGGACCAAATTCTTGGTGTCATTTCTGAGTATTACCAGAAGCTATTTACTACAAAACCAGGAGTAAGATAGTCAATCATTTCAGAGGCTATCAATCTATGCATTTCAGAACAAACAAATGTGAAGCTAATCTCTATACCTTCGACAAAAGAGATAAAAACCGCCTGCTTCTCAATCCATACAGATAAAGCCCCAGGACCGGATGGCTTTTCGGCCAGTTTTTTTCAGACTAACTGGAAAATAGTAGGGAACATAAATGCTACTCATGTCAGACTCATACCAAAGATAACAAGCCCTAAATCCATGAAGGATTATATGCCTATTGCTCTATGCTCTACCTACTATAAAATCATCGCTAAGTTGCTTACCAAGAGAATACAACCAATCATAGCATCTTTGGTCTCTGAAAACCAGTCAGCTTTTGTCCCACATCGAGCTATTGCAGACAATGTGTTGATCACACACGAAGCTATTCACTATATACACACATCAGAGGCTAAAATAAGATACTACATGGCCGTTAAAACCGACATGAGCAAAATATACGACAGAGTGGAATGGGATTTCAATGAAATGATGATGGAGAAAATGGATTTTCACCAGACATGGATAAACTGGATCATGCAATGCATAACCACAGTCTCTTACTCTTACCTCCTTAATGTAATGGCCCAAGGATCAGTCTTACCACAAAGCTGGGGTATTCGCCAAGGTGATCCTTTATCTCCTTTCATCTTCATCCTCTGTAGTGAAGTGTTATCAGGTTTGTGAAACAAAGCTCAAATCAGAGGAGATATCTCACGGGTATTAAATTGGGGAAGAAAAGCCCTCAACTCAACCACCTGTTGTTTCTAGATGATACTATGTTTTTTTTGCAAATCGGATCTCCAAGACTGTGAAACCCTCATGTTCATCCTACAACAATATGAGGCAGCCTCAAGTCAGGTCATAAACCCTTAAAGTCAGCCATCAAATTTTCAGCAAAAACATGTCTAGAAACCAAAGAAAGGGTCAAACTACTGCTAGGCATTCAAAAAGAGAGAGGATTGTGGATAGAATCCGCCAAAAACCATGCAGTTGGTCCTCTAGGTTTCTCTCTACAACATGGAAGATGATCATGTTTAAATCGGTCCTTGCGGCAATGCCAACCTATACCATGTCTTGTTTCAAGCTGCCATGCTCCTTATACAATCGTATTCAATCGGCCTTGACAAGATTCTGGTGGGAATCTAGCATGGATAAGAAAAAGATGTGTTGGATCTCTTGGCAAAATTTGACAAAGTCTAAAGAGAAAAGAGGATTAGGCTTCAAAGACTTACAGACCTTCAATGATGCACTGTTGGCGAAAGTAAGCCTATTAGCCAGAATCCTCCTTGGTAGGTACTGCCACTCCACACCCTTCTTAGACAGTAAACCTCTTGCCTCTACTTCACATGGCTGGAGAAGAATTCCTATTGGTAAAGAACTTTTCAAGCAAAAGCTAGGAAAGGTTATTGGAAACGGCAAACAAACTTCATTGTGGCATGATCCTTGGCTTTCACTTCAATCCCCAATCAGACCAATGGGACCTCTTCCAGAATCATCCTATAACCTAGTTGTCTCACATCTCATCTCACAAAGCTCCCTGGAATGGGATAGAGAGAAGATACAGCAAACCCTCCTAGATTTTGAAAATGAAATTCTGGAGATCCGCCCAAGTAAACTTGGAGATGTGGACACCTATGCATGGCTCCCTTCTAAGAACGGTATTTACTCAGCCAGCTCGGGCTACTATAAAAGCATCAATACGGACTCAGTCCCAACACAATCCATAGCCAATGATGTCTTCAAATGGACTTCTGAGATTTGGAAGGTAACCACCTTCCCAAAAACCAAATTCTTCATGTGGAAGGCTATGAGAGGAGCCTTACCAATTGGGGAGAATCTGCGCAAGCAACACATAAATAACGAAGCTAAGTGCCTTTTCTATGGAGAAGAGGAAACAACTTTTCACATGTTCTTCCAATGTCAGTTTGGATCGCAGATATGGGATAATTCCAACTTACTTGAGGAGCAAGTAATCTCTTTATAGAAGAGATAGAAAAAGGAAAAACAATAAAAGTTAATTAGGATAAAGTTTTGGGAGATTTTCTTTTGCTAATAGAATTAGGAGTTGTTATTTTCTATATAAATAGGAGTTCATGGAGAGTTGTTCCATATGAAATAGAGAAAGATATAAGGCTTTGGAGAGTTATTCCAAAAGACCTAAGAGAAAAATAGTTTTGAGTAGTTTCTAAATCAATAAAGAAAGTTTGTTCTTTAATCTTTTGTTCTCGTATTGCTGAATTACTTTTTGAATCATTCAGCGAGTAAGTCAGAGTAAGGTGATCCTGATTTGATTGAGTTCTTCTCTTGATAACAAACATGGTTTTTATAGACGACTCCGTAGATTCGTACATCGGTTCTCCAAAATTGATTTCACAAGTTATTCTAATCATAATATGAAGTCGTAAAAGCCACCCAAATTTAGTCATAATATAAACGTTAGACCATCTCCAACGGGATATCCAACTATGTATCCAAAGCTAAAGTATCCAAATTACAAATGCCAAAAAGCCAGTAGACTCGTATCCAACAAAGGATTTTTAGAAATGTTTTGGACTCGCCTACGTGGCGATTTTTTATTGGTGGAAGGGATTGTATTAGAAGGAACATTTTTTGTGTGTTTTATTTCACGCGTTTTATTTCTCTCTCTCTCCCTCTCTCTCTCTCTCTCTCTCTCTCTCTCTCTCTCTTGACTCTCCGATCTGACGAGATTTTGCTAAAATCGGAGGCAGTCGTCAGTTTAATTGTCACCTTTGACTCCTTGATTTACCCTGATCATCATCTTCACCGACGCGCTGCACGATCGGTGAATTTTGTTGAGCAAATAGGCGACTCTTCTTGAACAATGGCTCGTCCTTCTTTCACCCGATCTGAGTCTTTCCTTCACCAAATCGGCGTATCTCTTTCACCAAGTATTTCTGATGGTATGCATGTCTTTCTCATGCTACGAATTATTGTATCTTTGAATATATAAGAAATTAGGGTTTCTGTGATTTTAGGTAAATTAGGGTTCTTTGAAGATGAATAGGGCATGATGGTGGTTAAGGTTAGTGACTTTAGCCATGCTTGAACACGATTTAAGAATCTCTGTTTATTGGAATTGCAATTTCAAAGTTTTAGAAGAAAAAAATCAAATTTTACATCTTCTTTTCTCTGCTTTTGCCTTCACGAGTAGAGAGATCCATGGACACACTCATTGCTCAGTTATAGAGACAATTTCATGTTCTTTTCAAAGTTATCTCCTTTTTAGGGATGACTAGTATCTACTATCTTAGGGTTCTTATTGAAGTTTATGTATTAGAAATTAGGGATTTTAAGAATTTGGTTTAGTGTTTGTGAAATGGGTTATTGTCTCTTTTTCAAAGTTGTCTCCTTATTGAAGCTTTTTTTTTGTCCACTATTTTAGTATTCGAAAACTTTTGTTGTTTGCAGTATTCATGTTAATTTCTTTCTTAGATGCTAATTAGTAACCTCTTTACTTTCTTACTGCATGAAGCTGGGTGCATGTAGAAGAAGCTCAAAGGGGAATTGTGTACATTGATGAAGTTGATAAGATGACTATGAAGGTCTGAGATTTCTTCACTCTTTACTTTTGACTCTTAATTGGTTGATACTTAATACTTAGCAACGTATTTTTCTCTATCAGTCTCATAGCTCAAATGGTGGTAGAGATGTCTCTGGAGAAGGTGTCCAACAGTCATTGATAAAATTGCTGGAAGGAACTGTAAGACTTTCTACTTTAAATCTTTTAGTTTTTTCAAAAATGTGTATATACATGTAGACTGTTGACAAAACAATTAGGAATTCCCTTTTCGCCTTCTTGTTAAGATAGATTATGCATGTGCATATGCGTAGTCTCATTTGAAATTAGCATGCATGTTCGGAAACAAAACACATGGTGTATTCCTTATTAAAAACTAAAATATATTGTGAATAGTCGATGCTCGTTTCCTTAGTAAAAAGCTATACAAGATCAACTGATTGGTTAAACTGAATTCGATTAGTCTTGTTATACATAAAACTTAATGACTAGTTAGCTTTTGCTTTTGGTTAGTCATCAAGTATATATGTCTACATCAAACATTGTGTTCTTTGTGTTTTGCTTTAAATTAATGCTTAAGTTGTATTTGTTTCTGTTTAAATGCATCTTATGTACTATGTGTTCTGTCCTAATAGAATTTAATTATTTCGCTGATAAACAAACTCCATTCCTTTTCGTACGTTAATAAGTAAAAAGCTTAATAAGTAAATGCTTGTTAGTTGTGATAAATGCTTGTTAGTTGTTTAGTAACTGTCTACATCATGTTTTGTTTATGTTTTGTGTGTGATCAATGCTTGTTACACTGTGATCAATGCTAGTTAGTTATTTACTCTCAAGTGATAAATGCTTGTTAGTTGTGTGATCAAGTTGTTAGACTGATCAATTTAAACAACCACCAAGATTTCTTTATTCTTCTTTCTTTCTTCAATCTCTCTTCTTTCTTTATTTTTTTGGTCCTCTTCTTTCTTTATTTTTTCTGTCTTTCTTTCTTTCTTTCTTCATCTCAGCCATAAGTGGTGTAATGGATTCTTCCAATCCATTTACTCAATCTTCTTGGTTCTTGGACCTGCTCAATAGTCAACCATGGATTGAGAATGAAGCAAGCCAAGTCCCTGTCCAAAATGATCAATGGTCAGAGAGCATTCAAGCTGAAGACACACCTGAGGGAAAAAAAGGAAAACGTAACAATTGGTCAGTAAAAGAAGATGTTGTGCTCATATCAGCCTTGTTGAATACAAGCAAAGACCTTGTGGTGGCCAATGAGCAAAGGAAGATGACCTTCTGGTCAAGAATAGCAAACTACTTTGCTGCATCTCCAGCGCTTGTTGGGATGCCAAAGAGAGAGTCTGACCATTGCAAGTAAAGGTGGAGGAAGATCAATGATCTGTTCTGCAAGTTTGTTGGTTCCTAGCTGCAACAACTCAGAAGTCAAGCGGACAGAATGAAAATGATGTAATGAAGCTTGCTCACCAAATCTACTCCAGTGATTATGGGGTCAAGTTCACACTTGACCATTGTTGGAGAGAGCTTCGTAACGATCAGAAGTGGTGTGCTGCTTCTTCACCTGCATAGGATGACAAGTCAAAAAGAAGAAAGGTAGGGGATAGAGCTGAAGCTGCTGAACAGTCATCAAGCTCACATGTAGCTAGCCATGGAGATGAAGCAATGGCTCGTCCACCAGGTTTTAAGGCGGCAAAGGCCAAAGCTATAAGGAATAACAAAGGCGTTGAAGAAGGACCAGATGCTCTGTTAAGGATTCAGAGCATTTGGGAGATTAAGAAAGAGGACTATGAACTGAAGAAGAAGCAGAGCAAGCTCAAAATGTTGGAAAATCTCCTTGGAAAAACAGAGTCACTTAGTGAAATAGATATGGCTTTGAAGGACAAGCTTATCACTGACATGTTGTCACAAGCTTAAATGTTGTCTTTTATTTCCTGAATCAGTTTTTTTTTGGAAGTTAGTGTTTCTATTATGTTTGTGATCAATTAATGCTTGTGTTTTGTTCAGTTTATTATTGAGTTTATTACTTGTGTTCTCTTCTCAGTTCTAATGTTATGGATGTGTTTTATTGCTTGTGGTTGTTGCATATATTGGTCTGTGTTGCAAGTGTTGAGATGCAACTGTTCTTGTTTTCTTTTCACGTATAACATAGTGGATGAAGCAGAGAAGACCAAGTGTTGTTTTTTAGAGTGTATGTTAAATTATATATTCAAGTCACTTGCAACACAATTAACTAATACTCATTTTTTCAAAATTTGAAATTTTTAGATCCTCATGGATCTACCATTGGACTGTCTCAAAATTTTAAAACACTTGAAAGCGTCTAAATTTCAAATTTTGTATTATTTACAATTGTAAATATGGTTTGGACTCCTAATGTGAGTCCAACCGATAATCATGCTCTTAGAATCTGATAGAATAATCGGATCGTATTCAAGTTACCCACAACTTACTAATTAAACTAATTCTAATTTATAAAGCAACCATATCGTATTCATTCACAAATATTGGGATCATGATGCTCATCTATGTGATGTGGCAACTGGCAAGTAGTCTAATAGATTTGAAACTCCAACCTTATATTTTTCTTCATTTTGTAGTAATAGCATTTTTTATTTGTTTTCTCAATGTGTTTTAGTTAATTTAGATATACTCAGAGCCGGCCCATGACACAGGCCTATAAAGCATTTGCTTGCGGCCTCTAATAATATATAAAATTTTCTGCCTCCATTTGTCAAAATGTTCCTTTAGTGTAGTGGTCCCGGCCCGGTCTTCCTTCCCAGGTGACAAACCCCAGTTCGAATCTTGACTATACTTTTTTTTTTTTTTTGTTAAATATATTTTAATAAATATGCAAAAGTACAGCCCATTTTTTTTATTTGTTTGTGGCCTCCGAAACCTTAGAACCGGCTCTGGATATACTCTTGTACAATGGATACGTCGATGTATATTTTTTTGCTCCCGTAGGGCAAGTACCTTTTTCACGTTTTCAAAATCAATTACAGAAGAGAAAAAATAAACAAAGGCGTAAAGAGAGTTCGCCGAGCAATCCCCACAACATATATATATATATATATATATATATATATATATATATATATATATATATATTTTGGTTTTTTTTTGGTTTTTGGTTGGGTTAAAGGTGCTAGTAGATTGTTTCACGCAACTAAAAAAAACACACGGGTTATCCTCGATCTGTCATTCATTTATGTTATTGATCTTTTAGGATTAGTTTGACGAATCATCAGTCATGGTCTTGAATCTCTCATTCCTTAATTTCTTTTCATCCGAGAGAATTTTGGCAAACCTGCATGAACAAAATATTCAAACGATGATATTACTGGTTGCTATCTAATAAACTCATCAACAAGATTTGAAACTTTGAATCACCTTTTGAGTTCTTGATCATTGTTGACGGTTTTATCAATAGGTTCATATGTATAAGTGTCGAGGTTCATACGCACAACATTTGTGTCTAGTAATTTCTCTCCAATATTCTTTAGATTCTCTAAGTTCAACGTCTTTGCGTCATCCATAAAGACTTCATCCTTTTTCAATGTATCTGCCTGAGATAGACTTGCACATATCAATAATCTCATCCAGTTAAGAACAGTTTCCATTAAATTGTAAAAACGTTTATTTTTTCTTTGAATATAATTTAACATTTGAGTCAAAAAAAACCTCATCCAGTTAATGAATGATAACGTATGAAAATGTCTAAGTATAGCTTCTTACGTCGATTCTTAGGTAGTTATCCTCGGACTTTAGGGCTTGAAACAGAACCGAGGTGTGGTACTGGACCATGTCCCGGCTTGATTCCAAGATAATGTCTAATATCGGAGTCGTTTTATGCTTCCAGTTGAACGCCCAATTTTCAAATCCCCATTTCGCAGCCTCTATTGCGCTGTAGTACTCCTCTCTTTTTGCCGATCCAGTCCCTATCGATATCACGAGATACCTATCATACTCTAACGGCTTGAACCCATCCATATCAGGATGGTTAATTATAGACTTTCTAGACATAGCTGTCATGCCCACCAGAGTCTATGAACAACCAAACACAAAACAGACAAGAGAAGTAGTTGATGATCTGACAAAAAGAGTAATGAGGAATTGGTCCTGAAGATTGTGTTTTACCGGGTCATTAGCGGTAACACCACCGTCTATGAGGTTAAACGTTCTCATCTTATCGTTTTTGGGAAATTTATAAGGAGGTAAGTAATATGGAGCAGCTGATGTGCCAATGCATATGTCTGATAACTTGACGTTCATGCTAGGGTCAACCGACGCCTTCAACAACACGTAACAAAAGAAAACAGAGTGTTAGTATGCTAGAGTGATTGAAATGCTATGTTATTTAAGATTTAAGAACATCGGTGGAGAAGAACATGGTATGAGGAGAAGATGGTTGGTTGAAGTTTCTTGATGTCGAAGGTAGGTATGACAACGTTTGTGAGTGTTTGATCAAGTCTTGTCTCTCCAAGAATCTCTCCCAATCGTGTATGTAGATACTCTCCGTCGTACTTTGGACGAAACAGACGCCATAAAATAGACGGTTTCCACCATTTAGATCTGCATTATTTCACGAAACAAAGAATTATAAAATTCATAAGTAATTCACTAATCATCTTCTTTTTATACATATAATGACAACTTGATTTTTAAGAACAACCCTAAGTTATTTAGTTCCTTTTACATATCATTTTATCTTTTTCGTTAAACGAAACATAGGAATTCATTATATATTGTGAGTTTGCAACTATTGTTATTTTTATTTTTTTTGGGGAAAATCTATTAAGTATGTATATTTTAGACCCTAGAATATCAATCTATAAATTATGTATAGTTTAGAATTTCCATATATAAAACCAACTATGACTACTTCTTTCTTTACCCATAAAATATCTTAGGAGATTCTTCTAAGTAAAACGGGACAATGTCTTTGGCAGCATAGAGTGGCCGGCCGGAATGGTTCGGTGCAGTCAACATGGCCGTCATGAGGCCACCGGTGCTGGTCCCGGCTATCACATCGAAATAATCGGCTAGCCTCACGGTTTCGTCTTTATCAATTTCCTATTTAAACAGGCAGCTCACAAGTCAAACTCGTTTAAACAGTATATATATATGTTCAAATCCTACTATATATCTTATAAATAATCAAGAAGATCCGATAGCATATATAGACGCACACATTTGAAATTTAGATGATAACCCCTAACATGAACAAAACTCAATTTACCATAATTCATGTCATGTAAATATATAGTCTTTGTGTATGATAAACATAAGTTTAAATTATTTGAAGCGCAATATTTGTTTTGTAAAATTAAACATTTTCATTCTTGCTTATAATATTTTTAGAAAGAATAAACAATCGAAACGATGAGAATTTTTCGATTTTTTTTTTCTTTTTCTAATTTGTGTTTAGTTTCTGCGTTGATAATTTAGAAAGAGTTTTGATCAAAATACAAAAAATGTTGGGGATTCATTCAAAACAAACATCTATACTTATAATACGTAAATGTGAAAAAACTGCAAACAAATAGTCGATGCAGTAATGGTAGGTTTTATGTATAACCTGAAGATGTTTTTCAAGATTAGCAAGGATGACTCCCCCGATGATTCCACGGACTCCGCCGCCGTCGAGGCTGAGGATGGTTACAAGGTCTCCGTATTTCGGCGGTTTATTTTTCTTGAACACCGAATCGTCCTTCATAACCAATTCTTCTTTTTCTGATAACTGATTAAAACTTTCGTTAGAACTCAGTCTAACCCTAGGAACTCCAAAATTTTGGATTTTCTTCTCACTTAAAATGTTTATAGTGTTAGAAACACAGTGAAAATCATTTGATCGATGATTTCGACCAACAAAGCGAGTCATCAACCACTGGACCATACTTAGTTATGACTTGTTTTTCTTCTGAGTTGTAAAAGTTTAAATTTAAAAATTGGTTTAGACACACAAAAAAAGATCAATGCACAACTAAATGAGTGGGAGATTCTAAGAGATAAATTTTGGTCGATACGACTCTTTCTTAATACATTTCGTGCTGTGATCTTAGTTTGGATGTTTTCTTTGTTATTAATTATTACAGTAAACTAGGAACAACTAGGTCTTGAGACGAAGTCGAGATAGATCGATATTTTCAAAGTAATAAAAGATTAATTACTTCAATTTTTATCGAAATCTTTTGAATAATCTATTGAAAATGACATATCATTCTAGTATGACTAATTTCAAATAGTGGATACAAATTAAATACACGTAGAAGAATTTTCGGAAGGGTTTATATTACTTATAAACGGGTGTATTTATTGAACTCTTTAGATGAGTTCAATAAATTGTCATCCATGCATACTACAACATGAATTACTACATCTGAAATATGGACAAACTTAATTTATTTGTCCTTTATTCTTTTGCTAATCTTTTTGTGTCTCCGTACATATCATCTTTCTGGCTAGTTCTCAACTCATCACATTCTCAATGGCCCAGAGAAAGACTCATTTAAATTCTATACATAAACAAGACTATGTCGTTTGTATGAATGCTTCTCTAATTATATCTAAATCCAAGACTGGTCCCAAACTTGAAGACATCATGTCAATAGCTCAGTTTCTAAATTTGGGGTTTTGATAAGTTAATAAGTACTCTTTAATTAATCTTTAATATTCCCTTTTACCTGAGTAAGATCAAGTCTATTATGATTACCTTCACGTTTACCGATGACGTGCAGTTCCATTTTCAGAAAAGATAAGGGAATAAGTGTGCAGTCAAGGAGAATCTCTTCTTGCTAGCTTTGTGGAACGGAGAGTTTTTTTAACAATATTGTTTAAGATCAATGAAATGATATGAAAAGAAAAAGAAAAAACAGAAACCCCATATAATATAACAAAAATTCTCAGTCTTTATTTAAAGAATGATTTTTGAATTTTTATTTTAATATCAAATTAGACTCAAGCTCTCCATTTGTTATTGTCAGATCATTGAATCTCTCTAGTTGCAATTTTGCAATCTTATTTATAACGCCACAAGCTTCAGGGTTCCATGATTTCTTTGTCAGACTTTTAATTTTTAAAAACAGAAACGGCACGAAATTTAGAATCTGTTTTTGTTTTTTGGATATTTAGGTAGCGTTGATGTAAGGTTGTCTCCTCATGGCCGGTAATAGATAAAAAATCTTAAATCTGTTAATGGCAGGAGACCAATGGTCTATGAATCTAGAATGCAAGATCATTCGTCTCCTGCCATTGACAGATTTAATATTTTTAATCAAATTGGTTTGCAAAAGTTTTATAATTTTGCAAGATCTTTTTTGAAACTGAAGGTATAATAGGATTTCAATTATATTAAATCGTAAACACGAATCTTAAATCTAAAATGCATATATGGTCAAAATTTGAGAAAAACCTCCTTTATACTAGTTGGAACATAATTGAGATATGCTGTCATCCTTCATATGTCAAACTAACTCTCTCTGTTCCTGTCGTTTGGTTTTGTATAGAGTTTTCTGAAGACTTTTGTTTGGTTTTCACAAATCAACCGATCAAAGGTTGTGGAAGATGCTAAAACTTTCAGGAAGGGAGCTTGTGTAAAGTATAATTCTTTACTCTTTGAAACCGTTGTTTATATTTCTAATTTCCATTTTCCAACTTTTCTCATCTTATTTTTCTAGCTGTGGTGCTATGACTCATAAGGCCAAAGATTGTATGAAAAACCGCGATCTAACAAGAATCTAGCAAAATACCGTAACAGATCCATTGCATTAGATACAAGGTAATGACTATTTTTCTAAGTTCTTTTCACTGCACATCACATGACAGTTTGATAATACCTTTTTTTCTGCAGGTTCCTGGGCAGGACCGGCTCAATTATTGACGAGACCCGGTGCTAGATCTGTCCCAAAAAAATTAAGGGCTCTTAGACAAAAAATTTTTTTTTGTCTATTATTATAATTTAAAAAAATACCAAATTTGTATTCAAATAATTGTTGTTTTTAATTATAGAAATGTTATTTTCTTAAACTTGGATTTTTTTATATTGTTTTTAACAAAATTTGGGATTTTTAAGGTATAATTTTTTATTTAGTTAGTTATTTTATAAAAAAGTTCGGATTTTTTTATGAAAAAAAAAAAAAAAAAAATTAATTGGACCCTAGGAGGCTAGGACCCTGTGCCCTAGCACTCCTAGCTCATGTGCTAAGCCGGGCCTGTTCGTGGGCTTATAAAGATTACATTGCAGCGCAGCAAAATTTTTACCCTAGAAAATCCTATTGATTCCCTTACATTGGTTCTCTAGAAGCTTTAATAGTCTCATGGTGCAAAACTGGATTCTCTTTTAAAAGATATTGAGCATTTGTATGAATCAATCGTCTTATATGTTTCTGCAGCTCTCTCTGGATTTTCATCAGCAACAGCTTCTTGTTCTTTCTGCTTAAGATAATCTTGTTAGTGAAAAATCATGTTACAAAGAGTTTATTAGTTTCTAGTACTTCTATGAAAGATATATTTTGTCTTAAGACAATCAGGAACAAAATATTTTGTAAATGATGCATGCTCTATTCAATAGGACTAGCAGCAAGCAATTGGTCCAACGAATTGGGCTTTTTTCAGATGATGTAATAAATGATTGATACTTATCACTTACACTAACGGACAATGAAGCTGATAAATCAAGAGACCAAAAGTTTCTAACTTTCTAATGATACAAAATACAAAGATTCCAAAACATATCAACTTAATTTAAAATTTTCATTTTAAATATGAGATGAGATCAGAAATCAATAGAGTACAACAAAACACTCTGTCAGATTCCCACTAAGTTTTTGAGGATTCCCCAAAAAAACAATTTGGACAATAATGCTCAAAATTTAATTAATTAATTTCCCCAAAAATATAATTACCAAATTATGAATTGTATTGCTCTCTCTCAGAATCAAAACACAGAAGAGAAAAAAATAAAAATGGAATCTTTGGAACGCTTCCTCTGCTCTATTGCTCTTCTTGTTCTCTCCCTTCTTCTACCTTCAAACTTAGCTCAACAACAACAACAACATGAATCAATTAGAACAATGGAAGATTTTTCCGGATACCCAATTCACGAACCGGGTCAATTCGGTTCCATCAATCTCGCTTCTTCACTCTCCGTTGATGCTCCAGGACTACAAAACCAGGTTCAAAGTTGGGTTTTTGTAGTAGATTTCAAAAGTTTTGAGCTTTTTGATTTTTATTGATGCTATTTTGTTTTGGTTTTAGATAGATGAGCTTTCTAATTTCTCTGATGCTCCTTCTCCATCAGTCACTAGAGTTCTTTACACTGATAAAGATGTCTTGGCTCGAAGGTACTTGTTTGAGTTATCATCAATTATTACTTGTTTGAGTGATCATAAAGATTAGGTTTTGTCAAGCTAAGTTGATTGATTTTGTTAGGTATGTGAAGAATTTGATGGCACTTGCTGGTCTTACTGTTAGAGAAGATGCTGTTGGTAACATATTTGGCAAATGGTTTGGCTTTTGCTCTTGCTCTTGCTCGTTGTTTCGTTGAGAAGATAAGTTTGATTCTGTTATTCATGTGATGTGTGTTGTTTTCATGCCTCTTAACTTAGGGATGGTTCAGAGCCAAATCTTCCTGCTGTAGCGACTGGTTCTCATATCGATGCTATTCCATATTCCGGGAAGTATGATGGTGTTGTCGGTGTTTTAGGTGCGATTGAGGCTATCAATGTTTTGAAAAGGTACGAAGAATCTTTGGATTGTAGAAAGTGGAGTTTAAGATTGTGTTTCCTGATGATTTTTGTTGGGGTTTCTTTGTTTTCTTAAGGTCGGGGTTTAAGCCGAAGAGATCTCTGGAGATAATCTTGTTTACATCTGAAGAACCGACCCGATTTGGGATCAGTTGTTTAGGAAGGTACCTTTGTTTTTGATCTTGGTGAACTGATAAAAGCTTGTTGCTTTGTTTCTTTTTGTCTTATTTGTAAATGTTCTTGATACAGCCGCTTGCTTGCTGGAAGCAAAGAACTTGCAGAAGCACTAAAGACTACAGTTTTTGATGGCCAAAATGTGTCCTTTATAGAAGCAGCTAGATCAGCTGGATACGCAGAAGATAAAGATGACGACTTATCGAGTGTGTTCTTGAAGAAAGGAAGTTACTTTGCTTTTATAGAGTTACATATCGAACAGGGACCTATACTTGAAGACGAAGGTCCGGTTGATTTACCTTTTCTGCTTCGAAGAATTTCTTACTTTTTTTCTCTCTTTCGTTTTAGTTAATATCAGATCATATTTGACCACAGGTTTAGATATCGGTGTAGTAACCGCCATTGCTGCTCCAGCAAGTTTGAAGGTGGAATTTGAAGGCAGTGGAGGTCATGCCGGTGCTGTGCTTATGCCATATAGGTGAGCTATATTATACAACTGAACCATCTGCTTAACCACAAGGCAACTAGAACACTGATCACTGTATAATGACTATTTCTTAGAATTGATGCCGGGCTTGCGGCTGCAGAGTTGGCTCTAGCTGTGGAAAAACATGTATTAGAGTCGGAGTCAATAGATACTGTAGGAACTGTTGGTAAGTTTTGCCTCACTAATTTCTAAAGAACTTACTCTCAATGGAACTTATTCACAAGATGAATCGCTGTGGTTTAAGGTATTCTGGAGCTACATCCTGGGGCAATCAACAGCATCCCAAGCAAATCCCATCTTGAAATAGGTAATTCCTTATGTTCCATCACAAATACTAATAGAGAAAGTCTGGTAAATATCCGTACTTGTCTTGAGGAAGTTGAGAGTAGTCCTGAGTGTTTTGGTTTTGACCGTTGAGACTAAGTTCTTGTCTTGTGTTCTTTCAAAGATACAAGGGATATTGATGAAGCGAGAAGAAACACCGTGATCAAGAAAATTCAGGAATCTGCTAACGCTATAGCTAAAAAACGAAAAGTAAAGCTATCAGAATTCAAGATTGTAAATCAAGATCCTCCAGCACTCTCAGACAAACTAGTAATCAAGAAAATGGCAGAGGCAGCGACAGAACTTAACTTATCACACAAGATGATGATCAGCCGAGCTTATCATGATTCTCTATTCATGGCCAGGTACCACAAAGTTTGCAAGTTTCATCTTCAGAATACTACCGTAAACCCTTAAATTGAGCATCCTGAACCCTGACAACTTTTCAACATACAATAACTGTTGAATTATTCCCCTGCAGAGTGCAGAGTCCTAACTCATAACCTTATAGAGTTATAGTAATTCATATTGAAACTCTCAAAGTTCCTTGTCCATTTTTATAATTGCCATATCAGAGTCTGTTAAATTCATTAGTGTACTTTCTGCTTTCACTGTTCTTGCTTAGAGTGATACTGAACTTTGTTGTTTATTTCTGTTTCCAGGATATCTCCGATGGGTATGATATTCATCCCGTGCTACAAAGGTATATATATATATATATATATATGCGATTCAATTAGACCGTGATCTTAATCCGAATCAGCATCGCCCATTCAGCTTTTTATTGGTTGTGTGATCTTTTGCAGGATACAGCCATAAACCTGAAGAATACTCATCTCCTGAAGACATGGCTAATGGAGTAAAAGTACTCTCCCTCGCTCTGGCTAAGCTCTCTTTAGACTGATGCAAACCCTTTTCCTCACCCAGAAGCTTTACACATTCTCTACCTTTTCTTCAGTCTTTGTATCTTTGACAATGTAAAGAAAAATTCAATAAATGTTGTGGCTATCAAGTTAACAAGTTAACAGTCACAGTTTTTTTTAAAAAAACTGTTGTAATTATCAAAGTCACAATAGTAATTTTGTTTCATGTAATTAATAAAATATGTTTTAAATTAAGAATTTGACGTTTGCTGAAGATGACACAAGTTGTGAAATGTTAGTTAGCTCTTAGACTGTGATAGGGAACTAATTTTTCTGCAGCTAATAGTATTATGAATGGTTTGTCAATAGACACTTTTTCTATCTTTTTGACTTGAAAACAGAACAAAATCTAAAAGTAGAGAATGTGATTGTTTAAATGGGAAAACGTCTTTATTTGACATACCAAACTTCTCTTAATTCATGCACTCTAGTTACTGATAATACATATATCTTGAAACTTAGGTGTACCAAACTTATAGAATTGTTAGAAATAGAGTCATTATAAAAGAATTGTCCTTTTTTCCAAGAAAATGATAACTTTTTTTTTTCACACACTTTTAGGAAGGTTTAGGAGTGCTTCTTAATTTTAAAATTTTGATTAGTTATTTAGAAATTTGGGAAAGAAAGTGAAAACATGTTTCACATAAGTTTATCACAAAACTAATCAAATGTATAAAGTAATATATACAATTTCGTTTATTAATTTGATTAAAGAAACTTTGTTTGTTTGAATACAATTTCTGAGATATAATACACAAAATTCTAAAGAAGAATGTTAAACTGAAATAAACTATCGTAAATAACAATGAACTAGGAAGTAGTTTGAAACAAATAATTTGCAAAAACACTATAGGTGTATTACATAATTTTTTCTCTATAAATATTGATTTTTTTTTCGGAAAAGGAGACAAAATTGGTAAGAGTAGAAAAAGAAACCATTCTCCAAGCTAATTGGTGTAATAAAAGAGCCCATCTTTAGAAGAAACATGCATGATGCCGTAGACACTTCTCCTCTAACCATCTCTTCTCATCTTTTTCTCATTCTCTCTTCTCTCTTTGTTTTTTTGAGCCAAAAGTTCAGGTGAATGATGCCTGGCTCGAGACCATTCCATCTCATGATCATGATGATGATATAATGATGATGATGATGTCGGACCAGGCTTCATTCCCCTCAACTTACACGTTTTGTTCTTAATCTTCAAGAAAAATCGTCAAACAGGATCACTGAAATCTCCGGTAAGCCAATAGAAAGATGAACACAAAAACACACTCAAGTGTGTACATATATGTGTATGTATCATCATCA